TTTCCCTAGGGCTGCCTTTTTTTTTCCCCCCCTTCTTGTCTGGTATGGGTCCCTGAGGTCTTCTCTTAACCTTTTCTGCTACAATCCTGGCTGAGAATACACAAAACTGCTACACCCCCAAGGCTGCAGATACAGGGCCTCTAACTCCCTCCCCTCCTCCAAAACTGGAAAAGTCCTGTATTCCTGCTTCAGCCAGTCTCCCAGCTCCTGAGTGGAGCAGAGCCACCATCCCCTGGGGAACAGGAGGAGATGGAGGTGGTTTCTAATGGACCCTTCTTAGTTCTTTCTGCAACCTCTTCACTATGGGGTGAGTGTTTCAGAGAGGGTGGGGTGGGTTCATGAAGGGCACTGCATTCATCTGGTTAATGGGAGGGGGCTCGGTGTGCTATGGCTGACCAGAGGGGATGGATGGGTGGGGATGGAGATTGGCCTGTTTCTCCTTCTCTTCTGTTCTGATGAACAGAGCCAGGAGGATACCTTATGGGAGAGGTGTGGACTTCCTTACAGCCAGAATTGCCTCTGCTTCTGGTCCCTCCTGTTCCCAACTCTAGAACTGGACTGCAGAGGACAGTAGCTTGCTTAGCCATAGGGGGATAGTACAGCTGCTTCCCCAGCACAGGTCTGCCCTTCACGTGGTGTAGCAGCAGGACCCCTGGTCCTGGTTTGTGCTAATGAGGCAAGGGGCCGAGTCATGTATGCTCATTGTAGTAGGCAGAGGCTGGCTGTCTAAGCAAGACCAGATCATGATTTTGACCGACAGAGCTGTTGCACTCGAGTGTGCCTTGTCCACGTCCCTGCCCCCAGCCTCAAGAATTGGTCTGGGTTCTCTGTAAACCATGCAAGTTGTTTCTGTATCGGGGCACTCCTATCTCAGCTTGGGGATCAGGCACTGCTGTTTGTTTCGATAACAGTCTGAGCACTTCTCCCTTTGGAGCAGCTTCCTCAAAAGTTCCTGCAGACTCAAACAGGCACCACTTTGCTGGGTTTCCTTGAGAACAGCATTTCAGGCTTTCTACAAACGCAGGCATGGTCCTCCTCCCTCATTTGTGCTGACGGGCTAGAAATTAATTTCCCTCCCACCACGCAGGAGCTGGGGTTTGATGTAGGGGCCTCCAGTATGGCTCATTTACTGGGTAGATACCTCCCCTGGAGCTTTAGAGGACCTACCTGTAATGAGACGGAGCCCACTTTTCCTTGCCCCAAAGAGATGAGATGCAACAGCTTGTTTTAAATGTGTTTTATTCAGTACTCCTTGCAACAACATACAGCCCCCAGCACAACTGAGGAAACCCCCACTAGTGGGGCATTGGCTTCTAGGCAAGAGAACTACTTAATTTTGCAGGTAAAAAATAGTGCCCTACTTCTCCATTATGAGAAGGGTCTCTGAATCTTGGGGAGAAAGAAACAAGCAGATACTAGGGTGGCCCTTACAGGTGGAGGGACGTAGGGACTGTACTGGGGGTCACAGCAAGGCTTGGGCAGTGCGGGAGGATCAGAGTCCTGGTCTGAACAGGGTGCAGTGTAATTGTCCCCAGGTTGTTTGCCACAGGTTCTTGCTTTCTGAGCTGTGGGGTCAGGGACCCTGAGCGTTGGCTCTTCCATGTGCAGCAGGTTGAACTGGGACTGCTCGGGGGGTACCCCTGGGGTGAGGCATCGCCTGACCTTGGCACAAGGCCTTTTCTCTGTACTCCTCTCCATGGCTCTTATAGGGCTATATGAAGACATACAGCCCCATTCTTCTGCTCATCTGGCCCTGTTACCCTCTTATGGGGCTCTGTAGATGCACAGAGGTCAAGGGTACGTCCCAAGGGCAGACAGAGGCCGACAGGCCAAAGTCCTGCTTACAAGACATATTAAGACTTGATCAGAATCAGAAAGGTGAATCTAGTCCCCTTCTACCTCAGATTTATTTGGGGAGAAAGGGACTATTCGGGCTGCGGACCCAAGCCCTGCTGCGCAGAACATAAAGGGTAAGAAAGCATTGGGGTGATGGGGCTGTAGGGGCATACTGGCCCCAGCCCAGCTCAGAGGGCCACATAGAGGGTGATAGGGCAGTGGTCACTGCCCATGACCTGGTTGCGGATCTTGCTGTCACACACAGCCCCTTGCAGGCTTTGCGATACCAGGAAATAGTCCAGGCGCCAGCCCACATTCTTGGCGCGGGCGTTCATCATGTAGGTCCAGAAGGTGTAGGCGTAGGGTGTGTCTGGGTACAGGTGACGGAAGGTGTCGAGGAAGCCGGCTGCCAGCAGCTCCCCAAAGCCCTCGCGCTCCTGGGGTGTGAATCCAGCTGACTTCTTGTTGCCCTTGGGGTTCTTGAGGTCAATCTCCTTGTGGGCCACATTGAGGTCCCCACACAGGATGAGGGGCTTGCGGGCATCCAGCCCTTTCAGGTAGGCCCGGAAGGCAATATCCCACTGCTGCCGGTACTCCAGGCGCACCAGGCCCCGGCCTGCATTAGGCACGTAAGCGGTAACGAGGAAGTGCGAGGGGAACTCGGCTGTGATCACCCGCCCCTCCTTGTCATGCTCTTCCTCGCCTGTTGGGGACAAGTGGGAGCAGAGGTCAGAAGGGGCAAAAGGAACGGTAGGAGTGGGATGCAAAGGCATGAGAGTAAAGAAGGCAGGAGTCTCTGAGGGCACATGCAGAAGCAGTTCAAGGTCAGAAGGGACAAAGGACACAGGGTGGTAAAGGTCAGAAGTTGGGACACAGGTCGATCACAAAGGTGTCTGGGTAGAGTTGAGCTCAAATGGTCAGGGCGGGTCCTTGAATCGGAGGCAGAAAGTAAGAGGAAAAGATGTAAGGCTTGGGGAAAGTGATCTGAGAGCCAATTAAGAGGGAAGTAAAGGGACAGTCATGGGGTAAAGGGAGGAGGGACAAAAGTCAAGGCTGTGGAGAGAGAGGAGAAGGCTCGGTGTACCAGAAAGCACATGCAAAGGTCACCAGCAGGTAGGGTTCGATGGGCAAATGTTTGGAGGCTGGGGGCAGAGAAGTTACAGGGACCACAGGCATGGGTCCCACGCTCAGAGCTTGAAGAAAAAGAATGCAGATACGAGGGTCAAAGTCGGAGATTGCAAGCAGCTGAAAGGTCGAGGACAGCGATCACCAGCTTAAAGAGGTGCACAAGGAGGCCTGGCCACAGGAGCAGGCAGCATGGTTTTTGCCCGAGATGAGAAAAGGATGCCAAGAAAAGGCAATTAAAAATAAATAAATCAAAAGGGAATCAACCAGAGGGTGAGAGGGCAGAGGTGACGGAGCATGGCAAGTGGGCTCCAAGGGGAGAAGTGGGGCACTAGAGGATGTCAAGGGTCAGAGATGGAAGCGGGGGGAGGTCCTCACCAATGCCATAGGTGACATTAAGCGGCTCGGTCTTGGAGAGCAGGGCCACCCCGCTATAGCCTTCCTTGTCATCAGAGCAGGCCCAGTACTTGTGTGGGTATTCGGGCATGTCCCGTATCTCGGGGGGCAGCAGCTTCTCTGCACATTTTGTCTCCTGTAGGCACAGCACATCTGGGCCCTCTTCGCGCACCCACTGTGGGGAAGGGTTGGGTTGGTCAGGGTGGCTGGGCTGGGCTGGCAGCCAGGACTCCGGGCTTCCAGCCCCAGCCCAGGTCTCTAAATCTAAAACACAGAAACCTATTTCCTAGACACTCCCCGTCTCTGCTACTGCAGCCCCCTTCCCAAGAGTCCTCCTGGACTGTCCTATAAACCTCAACCCCGTTATAATCCACCGGACTCCATGCCCCTTCCCAAACTAGGCCCTACCCCTCTTGCAGCCTCATTGTATGTCATCCTCCTGCTGTAGTGCTAGGTGTTCTTTTAATTGCCCTGTAGCTAAGGCTGCGTCGCTGAAACCAGCCCCATGGGAGCAGAAAGCCTCATCTCCTTTGCTCTCTAGATAGGTTTCTTATATTGTTGAGGCTGTGTTGAGAGTGAGCTTCTAACCAGCATAAGACCTGACTGTACCTGTATAATAGTGCATGACAGCAGCACGGCAGGGAATATCCTCCCCCTCCACCTCCTCATTAGCTCTAAAGTACATTGGAAGGGTTTTTTTTTTTTTTTTGGGGGGGGGGGGGGTGAATGATATTTTTTGGACAGCAACTGCAGCAGGAAGACTGAGATCCAAGATTCAGAATTGATCCCTCCCACCCCTGCCGGCCGTTCGAGAACGTCTAGTGGCCAAATCAATTTGAGGGGGAAAAAGGGGCATCCTGCCCCCCCACCCCCAGGACATGACTGCTCGTTCATTAAACCTGGTGGCAAAAAATCAAGAAAGGGGGTGGCAGAGAGAGAGAGCCCCGAACATCTAAAAGTCAACGTTTACCAAATTTGGGAGGGAGGGAATATAGTCGAACTGTAAATTCAAAACCAACTTGATAAAATGAGAGGCTGATGTATTACTAGTTTTTAAATGCAACCCCAACTGTCCTATTCCCTAAAACGTTGTGGGCCAAAAATAAAAGTTAATAATCCAAGTTCTCCTTCTGCACGTCTCCAAAACACACACGAGTTACTATTTCTACCCTGAGAGGGGAAATGGAGGAGCCAAGGGGAGGCAGTTTGAAGGCAGCCCAAACAGGGAAGAGACCTGCAGTGTCCCGTGACCCAAACCAGGGCTCTGGCTACTGGGTTACACTGTAAAACAGGAAATTGTTCTTGGCTGCTGCAGCTCCAAGTGCTCTCAAGCAACGCCACTGCCGTCTGTGGACCTCGCTCCATGGTCGTATTAAAACTGAACAGAAACCAGCTATATAGCATTATGTATTTCCAAGCACTGACTGGATACCAGCAACCGTAGTGGGAAGACGGAGATCCTAGATTCAAATCCTCCCACCTCTGCCGGGCGTTCGAGAACGGCTAGAAGCCCAATCAATTTAAAGGGGAGAAAAGGGGCAACCTGCCCCATCTCTCGATAGGTGCGTTTTGAACGGCAATTACTCTGCACCTTCAGCGGGGTCAAATGCACGGCTCGGTTCACCAGTTACTTGTGCGCTAAATGCTTTGCAGCCGGGGCCGGTCGCACTTTGAATGTATGTACTGCACGACTCTCCCGTCTCGGCTCTTACCTCCAGCCCCTTCTTCTTGAACCACGCGCGGAGCCCGTCCACGTTCCAGGAGGTGACCTTCAGCGTGTACCTCTTCCCACCGGGGGAGGCGAGCTTGTCCGGGGGGTCCTGGTACAGGATCGGCCCCTCGACGGCCTTCTCCTTGGCGCCTTTGGCTCCTTCTTTCTTATTCTTCTTCGCCTCGGGCTCTGCGGGGAGAGAGGGCGGGGGGCTCCAGTGCTCGCACAGCACAGGACAGGACAGGACAGGGAGCCACGGGGGGACGGGGAGGACTCTTACCTGGGACCTCGGGCTCCTCCCCGCTGTCCCCTCCCCCCTGCTTCTTGCCACGCTTGGGCATCTCGGGCCACCCGCAGCCAAGCCGCGGCGCCAGGAGCCGCCGGA